GGTCTTCTCAGTCCCTCTGTCTGGCAGGTGAAACCCCTTTAGAATATGCCTTTGGAGAGGTATGTTACATGACAGGCCTAACCCTGTTTCTTGGTAGCTGCTGGTCTGCCTTGCCAAATATCTGCTAAAACCGCCTTGAAGACTTCAAGTGGCTCTTAAATTTGATTCCAAGTAATCTTCAGAGAAAACGTCCTGCAACAAAACACAGTCAAGACTGGGAGAAAACATATAAAGATAGACCACAGAATGATTCCTGCAGATGTGGCAGCTGCAGAGACAGAAATTCCGGGAAGAGGAGATGTTGCACACCCAAAAAGCTAAGAGGACCTGCAAATCATCATCTGTTAGAGAGAGCATACTTGAAAGAATGGGCTAGATAATAACCTGACTGACATGGCAAAGGCTATGCAAGAGATGGGAGCAACATGCCTTGTGATGAGCTTCTGGAGCAGGTAGACTTCATGCTTAAACCCCCGGGGTAGATGAGATCTCAATACTATGTGGCCGCAAAGTACACTGCACAGTGGCGATCCTGCTTTCAAGGCTCCTGAGACCTGGGTTAATTGAGAGGGGAAAGAAATCAAAGTTAAAGACTTTTCCATCCACCCAGATTATATCCACAGTTGGCAGCTGTTACTCTAACAGAGTAGCACTTCCATCTTCTGGCTAACGGAATCCGGTGTGGGAAGTTACATCACAGTATGTGCTGTAGTGCAGTGGTTCTCCAACTTGGGCCACCGCTTGTTTAAGGAAAGCCCCAGGTGGGCCGGGCCGGTTTGTTTACCTGCCGTGTCTGCAGGTCCGGCCGATCGTGGCTCCCACTGGCCATGGTTCGCTGCTCCAGGACAATGGGCAGGGCCGGCTCCAGGCACCAGCTCAGCAAGCAGGTGCTTGGGGCGGCCAAGGGGAAAGGATGGCATGTCGGGCTCTTCGGCAGCAATTCAGCGGCAGCTCCCTCGGTCTCTCTCGGAGGAAAGGACTTGCCGCCGAAGAAAAAAGCGGCACGGTGGAGCTGCCGCCGAAGTGCCGCCGATCACGATCGCGGCTTTTTTTTTTCTTCACCGCTTGGGGCGGCAAAAACCCTGGAGCCAGCCCTGCCAATGGGGGCAGCGGGAAGAGGCAGGCAGCACGTCCCTCGGCCCACACCGCTTCCTGTAGCCCCCATTGGCCTGGAGCAGCGAACCGCAGCCAGTGGGAGCCACGATCGGCCGCACCTGCGGACACGGCAGGTAAACAAACCAGCCCGTCCAGCCAGGGGCTTTCCTAAACAAGCAGCGGCCCAAGTTTGAGAACCACTGCTGTAGTGCATGTTCCAAAGGGAGCCCCATAATGATCTAAGAGAACATTAGAAAAAGGGATCCTGTTTGTTGAACAGCCCAGCAGAGTAGTACCTGGTAAGTATTTCCTGTGAATAACTTAAAAACAAAACCAAAAATAGTTATATTTTTCCTGAAATTTTTCATGGAAGTGTTTCCAGTTTTTCAACAAAACCAAACAAAAACTGTTTCTTGAAGCCAAATCCAACCAGCAACCAAATTTTCCTCACTTTTTTGAAAATTGAATGTATTTATTTCTTTATTCGAGTCTGTCAAATAAAACAGAATATTTCACAAGGAACAGAAGTTCTCATGGAAAATGTTCATATTGAAATAAAAGGCCAGTTTTCTTCTAAAAATATATTTGACCCAAGAATCGCCACCTGTTCCAAGAATTAGGGGGACTTTCTAAGGTACAATTAGTTATTCACCTTCAAACGGGTTGTGGTGCCTACCTAAAGCCCCTGTGAGTGAGACAGTGGATGACTGGAAAGTCCTGTGAGGCCACCGAATTATTAAATCCTGGAAGTCGTCTTAGTGCTCACCAAATTTTAACACTTGTCCGAAAATACTCGTTTGTATCTTTCTGGCCACAGATTCCTCCCCCCCGGCTGAAGGGGCCTTTCAAGGATTTGGTAGCTGCTGCTGAGAGTAAGACCTGCCCAAGGAACGCGAGAAAACCAATCCTCCCGAAATCTGCATAGTCCATGAAATGCAACAAATCCTTTGTTTCCCAGGAACCATGTTTGTCAGAACGTCCGTTCAGCATCATGAAACTGCCGAGCTGATGGAGACTACATGTGAGCAGAACTCTGCTCCTCCCAGCAATTAGTGCCAGAGTTCATTAATGCTCCTCTTTAACTGGCTGGATCACTGCTGAGCAACACATGGCCCTCCCTTCCTGCCCAGCAGCTCAGCACTCAGCCCAGGACGCCTGACCTACCAAGCACCATCAGTCTAGCCCTGGCCTCCCACATGGCAGAATGGAGCACTAAATACCATGCCACTGGGCCTGCCCTCAGCATTCCTTAATAGTGAACAAGTGTCTATTTGATATCACAGACCAGTCATTAGCACTTAGCAGGAAGGTCTATTTAACTTTTAACCGAAGGAGGGAGTGTGATCTAGATAAATGAGATGGGGACTCAGGAATTCTTCAATGCTAGGGACTTGTTATGTGGACCTGGGTAAACCTCTGCAGCCCAAATTCAGCCCCCGTGCAAGTGAAGTCAATTCTGTTTGCTTCAGTGGGGTTGCACCTGCTAACACCAGGGCTGAATCCAGCACGATGTGACTCAGTTTCCCCATCTGTAAAATGAGGCAATATGATATTGCCTCCTAACCAGGGTTGCCATGGGGATTAATTAGACAGTGTCTGTCACATCATTATACAAGTATCAGATATAAGTAATTGCAATCAATAACCCTATTATGCAGAATCAAATAGTTGTTAGACACGCATCTCAGTTACACATGCAATAATTGCCTTAGAAATAAAAGTCAAACTCAAATCTGAGGACTAATCATCTCCAGTGTCACCTGAATATTGTACTGAGAAATAATAATAATTAAAAAAATAAAGGCATCTTGAAGTGTTGCTCAGCAACAGAAGTTGCGGGGGATACAATCTAGGACTAAAGGAACAAGCATTTCCAAGATAATGGGTAATTTCAGGCGTGAAATTGGGGACAAGCAAATGTCACAAACAGATTTTTTTTTCTTTTAACCAATAATTTAAACTAAGGATTTGGGGTAAATAAGTGTTTAAGTTTGATGATTTAAAAGCAGAACCCAAACCTTTGCATAGAGCTGTATTGCTGGAGAAATGTTTATTCGTTTGTGTGAGAGAAACATTAGATTGAAAAGAAATTGAATATGCTCTTAGAAATGTCATGCCTGTGTTTAAAGAGGGAGATGATGACATGCCAGTGTTACTCTATTGTACTGTGTCTCTTACAAAGCAACCCCATATTCATTTGGCTGTTCCCCCTCCCATATGTCCCGTCCCCTTTTCCTTTCTTTTCTAGGACAAGACAAGCGCTCTGAGTCTCAGCAACGTGGCCGGGGTTTTCTATATCCTGATCGGAGGGCTCGGACTAGCCATGCTGGTTGCCTTAATCGAGTTTTGTTACAAGTCCAGAAGTGAAACAAAGCGGATGAAGGTGGCAACACATTCCCAGGCCTTTTACATCTCTCTGACACCACCCAGGCTCCTAAGCCGGATGCAGCACAGACCCGGGGTGGAAACCCATGTTATAGGGATGATGATGTGAATACGCTAGTTGATGTGTTTAGAAAGGAAAGAATGAGAATGAATGGCGGGAGCTAACTAATACGAATACATGAGTTCTTTGAGAGTCAGATCAGATCTACACCGTTGTGTAGTGCAAATGCAGATCTCAAATACAAAGCAAAACCCTAGCATGAATGACCATAGGAATGTATCACAATTCCTTACAGTCAAGCTTCAAGGAAACAAAGACTAGCTCTTCAAGGCTGCAGTCTGTTGGGCTAATGCACGATTGCATTTACTTCAGGTTCACACTGGTGTCAATCCATGCAAAACAAACAAATGGAGTAATTCAGTAGTGAATCAGGTCCTGTAATTCCATTAAGTATTACTGTGCTAATGCTATTTATATTTAAGCAATAATGGTTGCTGCTTAGATCATTTGCTGTATCTTATTGCTGGACCAATTCCTAGATCCAACAATCTCAGGTAAAACAGAGTACCATTAACTCCGTGAACACCATTTTGGCAGAAAATGTACTGTGATATGCAACCAAGTCTTCCAAAGGGCATGTGCACATTTGGAGGCTTAGGGACATCGTTTTTAATAAACTAGCCCTTTCCCCCACATGGTACTGTTATCCTTTCAGAGTGCCATGGCAGAGAGCAGATAGGATTACACTAGAGACTTCTGGGTATGCCGGTTTAACAACCAGAGAGTGCCTGTAGAATGAATTCATCTTGATTCAATGAGAAGCAAGGGAATTGGGGCGGATTACCATTTACGGGTAAAAGTTTGGCACTAATTGTGCCATCCGAAAACAATCTGTCCCCTGTATCCTCCACCTTGACCACTCTGGTGAGCATGGAAGCCAGTCAGAAGGTGACACTATGGCATTTAGGATACATCTGACTGGTCCTATGAGAGTCTTACTTCTATGAGCACTAAAATTTACCCGGATTTGAAAAATAATACATGATCATTTCTTCAGTTTACATGTTTCTATTTCAACATTGGTAATGTTTCACCAATGATGATTACACATTTAATCAGCCCAATATATGTAATACCTCTTTCCCCTCTGAGATTTAAAATAAGCCCGAACCAATGAGAGTTGGGGAAAGGTAAAAGAAGCATAGGAGTTGTGTTTTATATGCCACTAATATGGCTGAATCGAATACCGAATCTTATTCCAAAATAACTGTTCCAGAATAGCTATTTCAGTAAATCTCCAAGTGTTGACAACCTTAGACTTTGTCTAGACTGGGAAAATTAGGTTTCCTAGCACATCTCATTTTGCCAGTGTAGACAATGCCTTAGGCATATGCTTAACTTTACTCATTCCAAGTGTTTGCAAGATCAGGGCCTTAGAGATCAGCATGTATTTAAATGGTCAATAACTTACCCTGTCTATAGGTGGAGTACTTTCTGCACATGACATGTGTGCCCTGTATCTCAAGGTGTTCCGGAGTCGTTTAACTTGGAACCTAGAAGAGGTGTAAGCAATTAAAATAGATGCAATACAGAACTGCAGAAAAGCAAGAGTTAGGGAATGAAGGAAAGATAAAGACAAAGGAAGCAAGAGTATTTCATATTGTAACTTTCCAGACATTGCTAAGGACAGGGGGAGACCCCCCCGTCCCTCCTAAAAAGGGTTTTTGTTTGATCCCACAGCAATCAATCAACGAAGCCATAAGGACAGCAACCCTTCCCAGGCCAGCTACAGCAGGAGGCAGCGGAGAAAATGGACGGGTGGTCAGCCACGATTTCCCCAAATCCATGCAGGCGATTCCGTGCATGAGTCACAGCACTGGGATGTCCCTGGGAGCTACGGGATTATAATCGGCCACGATGCATCGCCTGGGTGAGAGCCGGGTCTCGCCTGCCCCACCCCTCCAGTGCCAAAACCAAACTGAACAAATGCAAGAAAAACAATGATGACAAAAGGGACAATTTGATGGATCTTCCTGAGGAAATCAAATCTATTTTCTTTGTTGTTTTCTGATAGATCCACAGGCAGGAGAACAATAGCAGTCCGTGCTGCGATAAGGAGACGGGTAACGAGATTCAGCAGGTTTCTGGACCATCCTGGAATGCAGAACCACTGGAGCACTGAGGAAGACTGTGCCATTTTGTTTTAACTTGGTTGTTAATAAGTCTTTGTGTGTGCAATATATATATTTTTTCTTACCAATTCCCATGGTGTCAGGGTGACATCATCTCTCCCCCTTCCCCACTCAACCCTTTAATCAGGTTTAGTGTGGGATGCAAACCATAATGTCTGAACTACTAACAATGAAAGGAAAATAAATTAAAAGGCAAACCTAACTCACTGGGCGTGTCAGCATAGAACCCTGTGATTCATCACGATTCAGCACTGTGGGGGCGGCGGCGTTGTAACAAGACTGAAAGTACTGTGCCGGGATCTCTCCATTCTCCCTTTAAGAAAAAGGACTTTAGAGACAAGAAAATGACTGAAACAGCAACAGAAATCGACTTTGGCAGAGACGGGGGTAGGGAGTGGCTGGATGGAGACAATGGCTGAAAGTTGTAACTGGAGGTGAAAGAGCCAACATAACCCAAGGCCAATGTCATAACTATTCCAGAGACGATTAATGGTGGTTCAAGGGAAAGCTGCACTGAACTTGGGGTATGAATCCATACCAGACCCTGCAGGGGGGAAACCCCCACATGTGGCAGGCTAGAGTGGACAAGTCAGCAGTGGACTAAGATCATGGCAGACTGCTGCATATGGAAGAGATAAAGCAAATTT